GGAATAATTTCAAATTTTAAATTATTATAAAATAAAAATTACAAACTTAACTAATAATAATATTAATATTAATATTTTTTCAGAAATGTTCCAAATGACTATCACACATAAAATTCTTTTCCCGGTATCAATTTTCAAAATAAAATTCCCCCAGAAAAATTCGAAAATATCAAAAATATACAAAAACTATATTTTTTTTATTTTTTTATTTTTAATTTGAATTGATCACAATCCTTATCTGATTGATGATTTTTGAATTTCAAATTGATGACAACTTCTTATCAACGATTTATTAACTTCTCATAATGAATGACTTCTTACTGCATTACAATTATCCTATAAATAAACTACCCCACTTCTTCTAAACCAACCCCACCCACTTCTTCTCCTTTTGTTCTATTTTTTTTCCCCGTTAATCAACAGGGAAAGAAATACTTTGGGATGCATACACTTACTTTGTTTTCGTTGTCTTCTTGAATTTATTTTTCATATTGAAAAAATCTATAATAGTTCAAATTATGAGTTTTTTGATATAATATAGTATCATGATTATCTATATGATTAGTTTTCTCTTATATATATATATCAAAGTAAGATACATCCAAGGAGGGATCAATCCTCCATGAGTGAAGGAAATTTTCTATATATGTCAATATTCAATCAAAGAGTACAATTCTATATATGTCAATATCCAATCCAAGAATACAATAGTGGTACAATTATTGGTCTGATGAAACTAACGGTAGTTTATGCTTCTTTGAAAGAATTCTTTTCGCGAAAAACTTACTTTTTATATTACAAATATTTTGAAATTCTAAAATGTTATGTTTCAGATGGGGTGTTATTAGCAATGAAGAAGATAAAACAAGAATATTGATGTCGGGGCCATAAATTCTATGTCAGGAAAGGAAAAAATTAAATAAATACTAGGAGAAATATTTATATAAATATATTTTAGTAAGGAAATACTTAAATTTAAAATCAGAAAAGGAACAAAAAAATATTATTAACTAAGTAATAAATAAAATTAATTTAAAATCTGGAATTAAAAATTTAAAACAATTTAAATCTTAAAATCTATTTAAAGGAGAAGAATACTTATGCACGATGGAGTTTTTTAAAACATAATTCATATTCAATTAACAAAGTTAATTTATAATCTGTAATTTAAAATATTTTAAATCTGAAAATCTTTTTAAATCTGAAAATATTTTCATTTTAAATAACAGAAAAAGAAGAAGATAACTTTACCCTTTTTTTAAAAAAAAAAAATCTTCCCACGTTTTAAAAAATAAGACGAATCTCTTCTTCTTATACTCTTATATATTTTTGTATCTATTGTTTTAAATTTTTATCGACTTTTAATAATTATACTATACCATCAGATTTTTGCTCGATGTTGAGATAAAGAAAAAATAGGAGTAAGTGGCACATGAAAGTGAAAAACATCCTTTAAGTTTATGTATCATGGTGAAAAATTTAGAGAATTAGAAAAATAAATGTAAGTTTTGATTCATTTGATATTTGGTATATTAGAAAGATAAATTATAATGAATATTTTATTTAAGTTGAATATCCGAATAAAATAAGTATAATGCCTCTGATTATGATCCGTTAGCATCTTTGAAATAGTTGAAGTTGTTACAAAAAATAATAGTATTGCATCGATTTGGCCAAGAATGACGTTCAAATTATTATTATTATTTTTAGTTTTCTGAGTGAAAGTTGGGAGGTTTAAATAAAAAGATTTTTCAATTAAATTTGTGTTTTTTTAAGAGTATTATATTAATTATCATTAAAATAAAAAAATAAATATTAAATATTAATTAAAAATCTACATGCATATGCATCACAAAAAACCACGTGTCATTTTTAGGATAAAATTATTTGTCATTGTAATTTTAAGTTATTGGTATTATTAAGTGCATATTATGTTTTATTAGTTATTTTTAAGTATAAAATTATCACATTTTAAATTATCCGCGCAACGCGCGGGTACGTATACTAGTGAGGAAAACAGTAGAGATATGGAGATATGTATGGGTCTTTTGGAGAAAAATATGGAAAAAAATTTAAAAATTCCTTTCCTTTTTTGGAAGGCATGTATCATCTTCAAATTCTTAAAAAAATAATAAAAAGATTTGAGGATTTCTTTCCTTTTTTTACTATAGCATATCTTAATTAGAAAAATAAATAATCTACTATAAAATTATCCTAATCTTTTGGAATTTGTAATTAAATTATTATATTAAAAATTACTTACTAAAATATATACTTGTGACTTTGTAGGGTCTTATATAAATGTGGCGTGATTTTTTCATTTTATAACCTCAATCACTATGTTATGTAGGTTGCTATTGTTAGTATTCTCTTTTGATGAAACACTGTACCTCCCATCATCAAGACCTAGTATATGTCAGTGCGCGTTTCGCCGATGTTTTATAATGTAATAAATACTTCAAATTTTAAATAACTAATAAAATTTATTATGAAGTTAAAATGATAATATGATCACTAAATTATTTAATTGAACACATTAGATTAATATTTTATGATTTTTCTTCTTTGCAACTGAAACAAATAAATTTGGTTTGGATCTACATTTTATTTTTTTAAGTATAGATTTTGAAACTAATTAATCTATCTCAATTTGAAATTGTAAAATCAAATTCAAAAATCAAAATTATATACTACAGAAGCATCAAAGTACCAAATGTGAACTGTAGGACATATCTATTTTATTGTTTGAGATATATTTTGTTGATCTTTTTCTCTTCTAGATAAAAATAGGTGTACTTAGTATGATATTTGTAGCAAACAAAAGTAGAATGTTCATAAATTTTATTCCTGGATTTATCATAATAATCATTTTTTAAAACATATGATAAATCGATGAAGAATGTCTTCTAATAGGAGAACTATAAATCTTATATTCTGGGATGAAATATATACCGAACTCTCATTACCATCAAACCATAAAAAAAACGTTGAACAACCTAAAAAAAATGACAAATGTAACCATAACCAAAGAAATTTTGGAACCAAGACAAACATGAGTAACATTTACACCAACCGATGCTTCCATATTTGAAAAAAAATAATTAAAATAATAATAATAATAATAATAATAATAATAATAATAATAATAATAATAATAATAACAATAATAACAACAACAATAACAACAACAACAATAATAAAATAATTAAAATTAATCTTTCAGATTTAATTGTAGTATGGATTTTTTCTCTCTTAATATCGGACTAAAGCTAAATATTTGTTACAAATTCAAATACAGTCATCACAAAAACTTAACGTCAACACTAATAAAAAGAAATATAGTGAAAAATACCCACAAAAACACTACCATTTTTTACATAAGTATTTCCTGCAATAAAATTGTTTTTTTCCTTCTCACATTTTCAAATCTCTATTTCGTGCACCTTTGAGAGTATTTCTTCGCCAACTAAGAAAATTCTTCAACAGATCTACCAAATAAAAGAAGAATAGAAATACAAACAACATACACTATAAAGTATAAATAAATTGAATAAATAAATCAATCAATCAAGAAGAACTCTAAAATCCTAAGCATTTCTTAGATGATTAGTGGACTTGATCGCAATCTGAAATAGATGTTGTTTTATTTTGGAAAAATGTTATTTTAAATTGATATATATATAACATAGAAAAATTAGGACTCTTTTAAGTTGTAACTCACTATCTTTCCTTTTCTGTAAAAAAAAAATACACAATATTATTTTTTTATATTACCGTTTCACTTTTTTTTTTAATATTTCTACATTTTCTAAAAGTAATACTTTGTAAAAGAAATACACAACATTATTTTTTACATTACCGTTTCATTTTAAAAAAAAATAAATTATTTCTACTTTTTCTAAAAGTAAAAGTAATACTATTAATTTATCTTACCGAGTTATATTCAATTTAATGTTTTGTTAATTTAAGGTTAATAATTTTTTAAAAATATTTAAAATTTGTATATCACTTAAATACTAAACACATTATTTTAAAGCACTGCTTTAAAATATAATAATAGAATTAATTAATTATATTTTATTAATTTATATAATGTTAATGGGTGAGAGAAAGAGAAAATTATGGGTGAATAAGTTCATAATTATCAATTACACTTTTCGGGAATTTCTTTTACCTTATCACATGCCACACCCCACCCCCACATTTTCTTTCCATCCATACTGATTTTTCTTTGTCTTCTAACTTCTCCATTGTTCTTCTTCTCCATTGCTCTTCTTCTCCATTTAAACAAAAATTACCGCATATATTGACAAGCCTGAAGCTGATCCTCTCAAAGTTGAATTTATCAATGATTTAGTTCAACAAGACCCAAGATCAAAGTGTATAGAAATTGAATCAATTAGTAAGTTTAATTTAGTATGTATAAACATTTTATTGTATGAAATATGTATGAAGTTTGATATCCCAACAAATTTATGGACTATTATACTTTTTATTGATGTTTAGAAAGGGTATAAAAATTGGTATCAATTAGTAAAGTTTAGTTTAATATGTATAGATATCTTGCGGTATGAAATAGGTATGAAATTTGATATTTCAATAAATTTGTGAATCATTACATATTTTATTAGTGTTTAAAAGGTGTATAAAATTTGGTATAAATTATTATAGTATGTATAAATATTTTACCTATGAAATTTTACCTATAGTACTTTTTCAGTTTTTATGGTGTTTGCAATTTTTATTTTTATTTTAGAATTTAAATTAATTTTAATAATTCAAAATTCTATTTTTTGTGATGTTGACACGTATGCATTTTTACCTCACCTATTATATATAGATAGATTAAAAACACAAAATTTTGTTGTATGTATTTTCACCTCGCCTATTATGTTATATATAGATAGATTAGAAACACAAGATTTTGTTAAATGCAGATCTAGATTAGACTTGATTGTATAATTTATACCTTTATGATTTGGAGGGCAGAGTAAATAGTCGTAATATCTTTGGTCCACCTTTATTATCTTTAAACTATGAAATGCACAAGAATTTAACGTCCTTACTATATCTCTCAGCCTGACCATGACCCAGAACTTTCCCAAGGACAAAAATAAGGGCATAGTACAAACCAAAATCCAAAGTATGCCCTTCCCCCACTAGAACACCAAAAAGGGAAAAGGGGCTCCTACAAACAATATGCTGCTAGAAACAAACATAATTTATCCATGCCACCATTACGGTTACACGACTTGGTAGTTCTCGGTAGCCAGCAACGTTCTTTGAGAGAACTTGGGTGGAGACCCACCTTTCAAAGGCAGAATGTTGGCAACCTGAAAATTACAATGAATCAACATTTCAATCAACTCTAGTCTCCAATTACTCTGACTAACATCAAACTAAACCACAGTAAACTCCCACAACATTGTTACTGAGTTCCACCCGCTACTACAACATCTCTTTGAGAAAATGAACAAGAATTATCACAGAACAGACATACGAAGGATCAGATGCAAACAAATCAAAATAGTTGAGGAGATGAAATCAGGATCATCAGATTATCTCCAGACACAAGTATGTAAAAACAGGCAAACCTTCAGGTCACTGAATGTTCTTGAGGCAGTAAAACGGGCAGAAATCGGGAAGAAGACATCAGGATCTGCTGCCGGAACAATAAATTCCAGAGATCCACTGCAATGTTTCCGTTTCCACATTAGAATGAGAAACAAGTACTTAAGATCGCATGTTTCAGAACAAAAGCAAGTTTCAACATAAGCTAACCTGCGATTAGAATTGTCAATGAGGACTATAGACCACTCCAGAACAGAATTTCTGGAATCATACCTGCAGTCAATGGTGAAAATATTGAATCTTAATGGAACATTTGATCATATAAACAGAACTCCGCAGATGCTCTCCCAATCACATTACAATACATGGATAGTCTTGGACATATTAACAAATCTTGGTTTGGGGTACAAATCAGAGTAGCAGTTATCAGTGTCTGGTCGACAATTTTGACTATATGTGTTCATTCTTTCATTCACGTTTGGTTCTAAAAGTAATCATGCCACCTCCGATTCAGCTTTAGCTGCATGACTTCATAAAAGGAAAAATACATCTGCAATTCGTGCACCTACTACAATTAAATTCATTATTTCAAAACTCTTCACAACCAATGAGACTGAACAATTTGACACTAAACTAATATATCCACACGAAAATTCCCTTTTTTATCATCAAGGACACTTTATACAAGGTGCAACAAGATGGATACAAAATACTGATTTCTTCATCTAGGAACGCACATGGAATTGGAGTTTAGCATTGAACAAGAACAACCAAATAGCATCCACCCCTTCCATTAAAGAACCAAAGAAAGTTTGCACTATCTCCAAAATTCTTATCCCAGAAACCTAGTGAAACAGCTTGACCAAAATTGGGGAAATCAGCAGGTGACACATTAATTTAAACATGAAACCACATCCTTGCCTTGACCGTATTATACAACTGACTTAAAGGCACTAAACAATTGCTAGGCACTCCAGAGATATTGACAGCTTTGTATAAAACCATTTTCAGCCTTTAAAGCTCTACCACAATAAGTTCTGTGCAAGTATCGTTCAAAATATCCACAATATTCATCTTTGATATAAAAGGAGGGAAGCTTAAAGTTAAGAGTGCCACCTCCACTCTCCATCAATTTGCTGTATACGTGGGGCCTCCCTGAGAGCTGGGAGAGGTACAAAAATCACAACATTCTGTAGATCAGTTTGTGCTGGGGTTTCATACTCAATATTCACATAGGTTTCATTCCCAGAAACTGAAGGCCAGCAGTTAACTGAGAAAAAAATATGAAATTGATAATAAAGATTAAACATGACTGAAACTAAAGCATGAAAAAACAGAGATGCACACAGGAAAAACCAAAAATTACGAAGCTTACTAGTTAAAGGTAAAATTGACTCATCTGCACTTTGCATTCTCCATCTCAAGAGACTAACTCCGTCACCAGATTGATTAGCAGGAAAAGGCCTACTAGGTTCTTTGAGGCCTAGAATATTTTCATTAGAAAATAACTCCTTATTGATATTTGGGTGTGTGTTGAAGTGGATGGCTGGATTACCACTGGTTTCAATCTGAACATACAGAAAGAGATGGCAAATACCATCAAGCAAAACAATCAAAGGTTATCCCTGCCTTCTAAGATCAGATAGGTCTGCAATCTAGGAGCTAGAGCCTCATGTTTAAAACATATTCCAAATTGATATGGGCGCTAGAACATACTTCTTTTCCCGAAAAAAAGAAGAAGGAAGGGGCAGTCAAAAAAACCTGTTGGCATACACATTTGATCTATAAAATCATGACACAATCTGTCTAAAGATGACAATGGAAAGGAAACCAAAGAGAGAGTTATGTGAATGAAGATAAGTGAATGCCAAATACTTGGCTTGCAAAGGACTTTTATCATCAGCTTTAAAGAATAAGGCAGACAAGCGTGTGGGTAGGAATCATGAATTGCATCTATACGAATAAAAAGTACAATCCACCCAAAACCATGACTGCCTGTAACTGTACTATGAATTCATTTGATTCAAACTAGAAGCATAACAGATGACTTAAGTACCCTGCCTTTTATTTTAGTTCTCTTTACAAACTACAAAGAGAAAGAGTGGGGTACTCACCAGGGGACGAGGAAACAAACCAAAGGAACTCATGGAAAAAGTATTTTAATAAAGAAAGGGACACAATACATTAGGGAAAAAATAAGATGTTAATAATCTAATATCAACGCAATTCATATGATTGTAGAGTGTCAAAAATATATGTAACAAGTCATACCTTCTATGCACACAATAGAATCAAAGAAAAATGCATCTATAGTGATTTCATTATACCCTTCAATACAACTGTTATTTGACAAACAATTCTTTTTTTCTCATAACCGCAGTGTCCGGGCCAGCTTTCGTGCACCTCGACCAATTCCATGAGGTACCTGCTACCTTTCACTAGTTACTGGGCCAGTAACTCTAAACACTAAAGCTTGGACAGATGGAAAGGAATCACCTAATATTTTTTGCCTCCACTAGGATTTGAACACGGGACCTCATGGTTCTCAATCCACTTCACTGAGCATGAGGCGGCAAGCCTCGAATATTGACACAAAATCTTTGAAAGAATACTTTCTAATAAACTTTATTACATTATACTTCCAGTACATCAGAAGAAGTTGTCATAACTATGTTACTAGATATTGTCATTGCCTGGTTCGCGCTTGCCAGGTACCAAATCCAGTATATCAGGAATTTTTTAGCTTTCTCTTTGTTTGGATCCAATGAAGACCAGTGTGACTATTGGTGTCTAGTGTGTGCCAATATCTATTGACCAACAGGTGCCATTGCTTTGAAGAGGAAGTGCAGTATTACCATTTCTTGATTTTTAAAATAGCTCTAAAGATGCAATAAAAGAAACTCATAAAGATGCTTACACATGCTGAGAAAAGAGAACAAACAGAGAGAGAGAACCTGAACTTGGATAAGTCCATCTTCTTGGTTCAGAATTTGGAGAGATAAGGTACCCTGGACATTAAAGTTGCTGATACCTCCATCACGCTTTAATGTTACATTAATTTTCTCTTCAACAGTAAGGGTGACAGGATCAGTTGGTGGTGGAGCAGCTGGCTTGGACGGACCAATGCTTGGTCTGACATCTTCGACAATGACTTCACCCTCAGCTTTCAGGGATTCCAAAAATTGGTTGGTCCTTTGTGTTTTACCTAGCTGCATACCAAGACCTTTTGGGGGGCCTGTAGCAGATGCAACTGGACGACCTGATCAGATAAATGTGATGAGCTAATTATACCAAATTGGTTTTCGACCACGCCCTCGATGTTTTTCCAAAAATTATGTGTGTTTTCAACAAGTAAAAGAACATGCTTATTCAAAGAATGGAAAGGAAAAAGCTTAAGAACTATGAGGGAAATAACACAATGTAAATGCACAAACTTTTTGGGCCTACCAACTGATTCCAGGATTCAAATTAGGATTACGCTCATTAGCAGAGGAAAAATATGTCAGAGCCTTGTAACGACACTGAAGCACCCCTAAGCGAGGCGAACCGCTAAACATGTTTTGCGCCTCGCTTCAGGGCTTAGGCGCCACCTTTGACAACAGTAGTCCTCCCCAATATAATTCTAATAACTTTCCTCCCTATATAAAGAGATCTAATACTAATTAGAGTTGAAAGAGCTCCACATTCTTTTCTCAAAGAATATAAGAAGCCATGAGGAAAAATATGCAATACTTCGTAATGCGCCACCCTCGACAAGGTGTTTGAGCTAGAGACACATAGCATGTTTATAAGGTACAACAAATACAAACCCTTGGACTTGGTGGAAAATGAATCCACATCAGTGCTTGCTCCAAATCCAGAACCACTGCCTCCTAAACTAGATAAGTTTGTATCACTGCCAAAGCCGGTATCCATTCTTCCAGAACCCATGGATTGCAGAGACATGAAACCTCCTTTCTCACCTCTATTCCTCTCAATCTGCAAAGCAATGGCCACATGTTGAATCTTCTAATAGAACTCAAAGAAATCAAGACAAAGGAAGGTAAAAGGTTCAGGCAAAGGTAGCACTGGCATCCTGAACTACCTTGCTTTTATCAATCTCACTGGCTTTGCGCTTCATGACATCCTTAGTTTCATTAATCTTGCTTTGTAAGACTAACTTATGCAGTTTCTCTTCATGGCTCTCCATTTCACAATACTGCTTGACTTGTGCCACAGTAACATTTTCCTTGTGCCCGAGAGAAATTACTTCATCAAATGCGAAGATAAGCTCAAATGCTGTCCTGCAAACTCCTTCCTCGTCAAGAGAAAAAGAATATTCAGGCACCTAGTAATAGTCAAGGTATCAGCTCAAATGACCTTTCCATGTGATGAACACATCATCAAACAACGAGCTCAAAAAAGCTTTCGGAGATATACTTAACAGCTTGATGAAAATGAACTTAGATTATTTTTTTTGAGAAAGGTAACTTGTATTATAAACAAAAGAATACATAAGTAGTATTCTAGTAATACTTACATCCAAAAGTCGCAAAAAGCAAAGAACTCCTATGGAGGTCATAAGAACTCTAAAATACTAGGAATATCCTCTGCATCTTGAGGATATTCATGTTTACACCAAAAAAAGAAAAGAACCAGGCAATTCAGCTTCAAATTCTGCATAGAGCAGCTCTTGTTTTTAAAACATCTCTGGTTCCTCTCCATCCATATAGACTTTGATACGAATGCTCCTTTACGTACTCACTCTAGAAGTAAATCTAAACAAGCATGTGGAGATAATCTATCTTAGTTTCTTTGTTTTAAATAGGATAAATATATAAGCAGTAGTTATCTATAGTAGTTATAAGCATAAGTTATTACCAGCCGAAGTTATCTACAACAATAACTGTTTCTATCTCTATCTATTAGGAGTTATCTTTATGTTCGTATAAATATGTGTGTTTAGGAGAATTCTGAGAGAAAAGTATTACTATTATCTTTGTATCTGGAGATTTGTCCACTCCATACAAACATAGTTATTGGTTGATGTAGTGTTTAAGATTCTTGCACTTTATTTAACAAGTTAAGTTTCATTCTCATCTTGTTTCATCTTAGTTTCTATCATTTTGGTATCAGAGCAACAAGATCTAAGATGGTGGTATCTACACGTTCTTCTAATGAACCACTACCACAACTAGTCACGAATCATTCTAATGATCCCTCTAATGATCAAATTGTCTAGCAATTAACGTTTATAATATCATTTTTGGAAGCATTAGATGCAGTTGCGAAGGTTCAATCTAGTGGTACTCAACTTGATGCTAATCCTGGTACATCTGCTAAAGGAAAAGGTCAAGAACGTAATAGAGGTTCTTGTGACACCGGAAGGTCTTCTTGGGTCGAGGATGTTGATGTTGACATGGATATGCCTTGGTAGTTGAAGAAATCAACTCATAGGCCACACATAAAGATGGAATTTCCTCGCTTTGGAGGATATTCTTGTGGCTGGATTTTGAAGGATGAATTTTATTTTTTTTGGTACTATCAAATTCCTGATGATCTAAAGGTAGATGTTGCATCCATGTATTTGGAGGATGATGCGCTTGATCTCTTCATGCAGTGAGCGTATATTATTGTATAGGAGGACCTTGTTATAGCTTTACAAGAGAACTATGGTCATGTTGAATTTCAAAATCCAGATGAACATTTATGTAGCATTCAACAATTTGGCACAATACAAGAGTATCCTAGGAATTTGCTAAACGATCTGCCCCAGTCAAGAATTGAACATTGTCTTTTGGGGGTGTTCCTTACTGGGCTTAAAGAGGAACTCAGATTAGATGTAAGAATTCATAAGCCTAGAACTATTTATAATTCCATGAGCCTTGCAATGGAATTTGAGCAAAAAGTGGGTTCCAATAGTAGGCATAAAGGGTCTCAATGGTCAAATATGTCATGATCCAACACAACCCAAATTGGTTTTGCACGTGAAATTCCTTACCAATCAGTAGGCAACCAACTCGTATCACGAATCAATCCTAATTTTGCACAGATGTCTCTTCATCCTTCTCTGAATCATGCTTGGGAGATAGAGAAGCAGAATCGCATAGCCAAAAGACTCTGTTTTAGGTGTAATGAAAATTTTGCACCAGGTCATCGTTGCAAGACAACATCTCTCACTCTTATGGAGACAAATGGTACCATTGAAGGTGGTGAATCTGCGGAACAAATGCCAAGTGACATTATTGAAGGGGATGCAGGAACAACTGACCTTGCGAAAATTTCATTCCACACCTATCTAGGTAACATAACAGGCACAATGATGAAATTTTCAAGGGACATTACATGGACGCAAGGTGTTGCTTCTGGTTGATGGTGGGTAATCCCACAATTTTATCTCTGAAAAAATTGTTGAAGAATTACAGTTGCTTGTTCAAGTTATGCCCTATTTTGGAGTCCAGATCAGCAATGAAGATATCATACGTTGCAATCGTTGGTGCCAAAATCTTGTTGTGAAATTCCCTGGATTAACTATTGATCAAGATTTTTATCCTTTCTCTGTTGGAGGAGCAGATTTGGTGCTTGGAATTAAGTGGCCTGCTTCTTTAAATACAGTCCAAGCTAACTGGAATGAGATGTTTTTGATTTTTAATTTAAATGGGAAGTGATATAAGCTTCAAGGGGTTCCAAAAGAATCAAATGTACCAGTTGCTTTCCAATATTTCTCCAAGGAGGCTGATATTTCAGGTAATTCTCTACCCATTGATATTCAAAGCTTGCTTCATAAGTTTGAATCAATTTTTTGAAGAACCCAGTGCCCTACTACCTTTTCGTCAACACATCCACTCCATCCCTTTGATTCCCAACTCAAAACCATACAACATTCGTCCCTACCGTTGTCAATACTTCCAAAAATTAGAAATTGACAAACAAGTTTCTGAATTATTCCAAAAGGGTTTTATAAGGTCAAGTACCAGTCCGTTTGCTAGCCCTGTCCTTCTTGTAAAAAAAAAGGACAATACATGACGTATGTCCATTGATTATAGAGGTCTCAACCAAATCACTATTCCAGATAAGTACCCTATTCCAAATATTGATGAGCTTCTTGCTGAATTGCATGGAACAACTATTTTTTCGAAGATTGATTTGTGTTCTGGTTACCACCAGATACATGTCAATCCTGCAAACATTCATAAAACTGCTTCCGTACACATTCTGGTCATTATGAATTCACTGTTATGCCCTTTGGTCTCACTAATGCTCCTTCTACGTTCCAATATGCTATGAATGATTTGTTCAGACCATACCTGCGCAAATACAATTCTTGTATATGATATCTTTGTATATAGTCAAACCTTCCTTTGGTCTCACTAATGTTCCTTCTACGTTCCAATGTGCTATGAATGATTTGTTCAGACCATACCTGCGCAAATTCAATTCTTGTATTCTTTGATGATATCTTGGTATATAGTCAAACCTTTGAGCAACATATCAGTCACTTGCAACTTGCTCTCCAACTTCTCAGAGATAATCGTTTCTATTCCAAAACTTCTAAATGCTTATCTGGGCAAATCCACATTTCTTTTTTGGGTCATGTGATTTCAAAAAATGGGGTTGGTGTTGACCAGGATAAAGTTCAAGCAGTCTTGGAGTGACCAGTATCAAATAATGTGAAGGAATTACGTGGATTTCTTGGGCTAACAGAACAGGTTATTATCGCAGATTTGTGAAGGGTATGGAATGACGGCTCGACCTCACTGAACTTACCAAGAAAAATGTTTTTTAATGGTCGAACTCAGTTGAGAATGCTTTCCAACTTCTAAAGCAAGCTTTAACAACTGTTTCGGTACTACAACTTCTGAATTTCACTCAACCATTTATGGTGGAATGTGATGCTTCTTCAGAAGGAATAAGGGTTATTCTTCTTCGAGATGACCATCCTATCGTTTATTTTACTAAGGGACTTTCTTTTTCCAGTCGTTTGAAGTATACTTATGACCACAAATTGCTTGCTCTTGTTTTAGCTTTGCAGAAATGGAAACACTACCTCTTGGGCCATCATTTTTATGTCCGAACAGATCATTGCAGCCTCAAATATCTCCTTTCCCAGCATATTACCACTAATGAACAGCAAGGATTATTAATGGAATTGCTTCCCTTCGACTTCACTATTGTTTACAACGCTGGGACAGACAATTTTGGAGCTAATTCTCTCTCAAGGAGGTCAATAAATGCTGAATTTCTGGCTCTTGCTATTCTTGTGCCAATGAAATTTTCCAATTGGCAAAATGCTCTCAAGCCAGATACATATACTCGTAACATTATTCAAGCAATCTACCAAGATCCTTCCTTACAACCAGATTTTCACCTTGTAGATCAGAAAATTTATTTCAACAAAAGGTTGGTTGTTCCGGATCAATCTTCTCTTCAACAAAAGATTCTCTCAGAGTTTCACAACACACCTTCTACCCGACATGAATGATATTTAAAAACCTTGAAGCATCTTTCCTCCAACTTTTTCTGGCCAAGGATGAAGCATGATGTTAAGATCTTTGTTCAGAATTGTTTGGTTTGTCAACAAGCCAAATACCAGGCTCTAGCACTTGCTAGACTTCTACAACCCTTGCCTATACCTGGTAGAATATGGGAAGATGTCTCACTTGACTTCATTGTAGGACTTCCCAAATCTGGTGGTTTTGATACAATTTTGGTTGTCGTAGATCGTCTCAGCAAGTATTCTCATGTCATCTCACTTTCTCACCCCATATACTGCCAAGATTGTTGCTAATGTTTTTTGCAGAGAAGTTGTGCGTCTTTACAGGTTACGGCATTCCTCGGTCAATCTTATCTGATCGGATGTTATCTTTCTCAATTCTTTCCAGCAGGAGCTTTTTCGACTTAGCCAAACAAGGCTAAGAATGGGTACATCTTACATCCACAATGTGAGGCACAAACAGAAGTGGTTAACAGATGTTTGGAATCGTATTTACGATGCTTTGTTATGTAGCAGCCTCATAGATGGAGTGAGTATTTACCATGGGAAATTTTTTCTTTTAACACGAGCTTCCACTCATCCACAGAGACTACCTCATTCAAGGTTGTGTATGGTAGAGACCCTCCATCCATTTCTCCTTTTGTTCATGGAGAAACAGGCTTTGTTGAACTTGAAGAACAACTTTTGAATCATGAGGTCATGCTGAAAATTCTCAAGGATAACCTTTTAATGGCTCAAACTCGAATGAATCAGCAAGCTAATTCTCATTCTCATCATCGAGATGTTACCTTTCAAGTTGGAGATTCTATCTTTCTACATGTTTAGCCTTACCGTCAACATTCTTTGGCTCAACACAGGTGCAAAAAATTGACACCTCAATTTTTTGGACCATATAAAAGTGTGCTATGTGTTGGATCTGTAGCATATGAACTAAAGCTACCTGCTTCCCCCAAAGTCCATCCAATTTTTCATGTATCTTTGCTCTTTCCTGCGCATGGTCAACAGGCTGTTATACCACCAACCCCTCTTCCTCTTATTGAATATTGGGAACTCGCCATATCTCCTGCCAAGATTCTTGCACATCGATGGGTCAAAGATGCTGGTGCTTCTTCTTTGGAACTGCTAGTTCAATGGGTTGAATGCCCCCTGAAGAAGCTAGTTGGGAGAATTATGATCTCATTGAAGATTTTCCTTCTTTTTGCCTTGAGAACAAGGCGACTTTTCAGGGGGATGCACTGATATGAATTCTCCTTTACGGACTTACACCAGAAGAAAATCTAGACAAGCATGTGGAGATAATCTATCTTAGTTTCTTTGTTTTAAATAGGATAAATATATAAGTAGTAGTTATAAGCAGAAGTTATTACCAACAACAATTATCTATAGCACTAACTGTTTCTATCTCTATCTCTATCTATTAGGAGTTATCTTTATGTTAGTTTAAATATGTGTATTTAGGAGAATTCAGAGAAAAAGTATTATTATTATCTTTGTATCTGGAAATTTGTCCACTCCATAGGAGATAGTTATTGGTTAATGTAGTGTTTAAGATTCTTGCACTTTATTTAACAAGTAAAGTTTCATTCTCATCTTGTTTATCTTACTTTCTATCACATTTCTTATGAAAAGAATCAAAACTCAATGAACAGAGCTGGGGCAGAATAATCTAGTGCTGAAAAGAAATGAATCGTCAATTTGTATCAGAAAAACATAAAGGATACAAGTTTAGACAGCAGCCTCAGTGTCTCCAAATCTTCGAGAATGTTGCTCTGTTTGTTTGTCACTAGCAGCAAGTATAGAGATTCTATCGGCTGATAAACATAACGCACGTTTTCAGTCTCCACATAGGTATGTTGTTTTCCCGTTCCAACCAATTTGGGGAAGGCTGCAAGATACCCTTCAATTCTTATATGAGACATGTCAACAAACTGCCTCGAGATAAGTGCTGCAGAAGAGGTGATACGGTCAATGGTGATGTGTGGGAAATGCATCCCATACCAGAGAAGTAGAATATTGAGTGTCCCAGATGCAAGAACTAGTCAAATTAGACATACAACTATCAAATAAAAGAAGCTGCTTCTCTTCTTTTATAATTTCTATGTAAGAGCAGAAAATCTCAGAACTATTTACCAGAATTATCAATGGACAGTCGACCTACTACAGGAGGGAATTATCAGAGGAAGCAGAAACTTTTTTTTGTCAAATGTTAACAATACAAACCATTGCAACCTAAAATAAGTACAGAATTAATACCCTATAGATTAGATAATGGAAACATCATAGGTATGCATGAAAAACTAAATAGTGGCAGTAGACACCATAATGGTTCCAATATATTTTTCCCTCCAATTTTTTAATCATTATATGATTAGCCTTATTACATAATAAATAAAAAAAAGCAAATAATTGTTTGTCTGTCCAAAAGTTTCTCATTTTATAGGGGGATTACAGACATGTGCCATTTTCCTTTTCTCTCTTTTGAGTATGTGTTCAATTTTTTATTCTTTTCTTCTTCATAAACTTTTATTCCATTTGTACAACTTTGAATAGTGGTAGTGCTTTATACTCTCTCCCATCTATATATTACTAATAGAGTGAATAGCTGTATGGACAACCATATTTTGGAGCCTGACATTTTCTTTCAAAAATAATTGTATAACTTTCTCACATATATACTAAGACTTCATTTTACTCTCTTCCCTAACTACTACTTTCCTCCATCACCCACCGATTTATGCTTTTATCCAGAGTCTCATAGTCTTATTTGCTCAGTATTGCTCCCATGTTTCTCCCAACCCCAAAATATTTCTATTTGGCAAACATGTTCAATCTTTTAGATTTTGCTTAAAGAATTTCCCAGAGAAATTAGTTCACCCTGAATATAAAACAATAAAAAGTTATTTCCACATTAAGCAAACACCTAGAATGTGCCACAGTTTCTAGCGCTTTATTGTTTTCTCCTTGGTATCCCTAGGGCATTAACTTTGTTCTCATTCAGACCAAAACAAATGTCCTTATGGATAAGTTACATAACCAGATGTATCCATACAGTATTAGCACACAAACCATCTCTTCTTTTGATGAAAAAAAAGGATTTACAAATTTATTTACAAAGATAAATACATCTATTTGAGGATATACTGTCAGTTATTAAACATGACAAGAACTGAGTAAAGATCTCCAAATGTTCACAAGTCAAACCAGCAAAAAACACTTCAATGTTTTTCTTTTTTATGATGGTGTTTGGGGAAACTCGCACACACCTAGACTGTTTCTACCTCCCACATCATAGGTGCCGGGTAATTCTGCCTAACAAAGCTTAGGCAGATAGGAAGAAATCACCAAGTGCCTTTTTGCCTTCCCTGGGATTTAAACTTGAGACCAAAACACACTATATATATAGCAAAACTGCTTTCAATCAGTGATGAATAACCAGTAGATTTCCCTAGCCTTTGCAAAATACATTACAACAACAACAACACCATACCCGGTGAAATCCCACAAGTAGGGCCAGGGAAGAACAGTTGTGCACGTCGCCTTACCTTTACCGTTGCAAATTACATTGAACTATATTATTCATGTTGCTCCACGCATTGTGTTCATATCAAGTTGGCATCTTCAATGTAAATCATGCGTCATCAAAAAAAAAAAGTCCAATTTATGTATGAATCAGAGGTTATCTACTCTCATACCTCCAGCTAAACCTATGGAATTTTCTTTTTCTCCATTCATTGCAATTTTCCATTTCTCTCAACCATAATATAAACCAACTTGTACTATCACGTGCATTCCTAAATCTTAATTGTAATGGTTGAGCTCGAGTTTCACATTTCTCAACGATAATATCTGAACAAACATACTTAGTTAAGTGCTTTTCTGGCCATTTTATAATGTTCAATCTGTAAACTTCAAAACGGGAATTACTCACATCGCTTTGCAAATAAGAATGCAGAGAAGTAGATCTCATTAGTTTTGTCAAAAGAACAAATCAATTATCAAGTGGATGACAAATTAGTTTAGAATAGCACAACAAAAGCTATTAGACTGACTTCACATTATTTTGAGGAAACCAGAGATTCCAAAAACAAAAAAACAGAGATAGTACAGATAATACCTTTGCCTGATTTAGAAATAATGGATGCAGCTAGAACAACCTGCAGGACATACCAAAAGGCCAGTTTGCAGTTATTATAACAAGATTCTTTTCAAAATTAAAAAATCTATTTTTCTTAGAAAATGCCTCATTTTATCTAAAGGAGATTGTAAAATATTCAGCAAAAATTATGGGGGAAATAGTTGTCAGACGACATAATAAGGCAGTGAAATATTACCATTTTCGCAGCTTAGAAAATCTTAATCAATGGATGGGTATCACCTGGAATTTAAACATTTCGTCAAGTAAGAAGCAATTAAACTTGTGAAACAACTATGCATAAGAATAACAATAAAGAATACAAAATAAACAATTAGAAATCAGAATATTTTGATGCAACTACGGTATCCCTCCTCCAGAAAGTATTATGCTTTGCAAATAGGGGGATATTACTGTAAACTAAATGAATTCAGAGGTAGAAGAAGAGATCAACAGCGTATTACTCTTGCAAACTGTATGAATCTTAGCATAGAGTTACAATGAAGGAAGCAGATCGGATAGTACCCTAGGATAGGATCAACAACAATCAGCAATTTCGAAGGGGGTTGAGAGAGATCGATAGTTACCTACTAGTGGATCAAATTACGTAACAACCGGAACAGTGTGCAAATGCGGGACTGAACAACCAACTGATTTAATTGTCCTGTTTCTGTTTATACAGTCAAACCATAAAAATTTTGAATAACATTTTCAGATGTGTTTTTTTATCACATTGATATGCAAAAAGTTGTAATTCATAGTATAGTTTTTGAATATTTAATTTTTTTGTTAAAATATCAAATTAATGTAATCTAATTTAACTTTAAAAATAAGCAAAATTGACTTTTGAAAAGCCAACATGACAATTAAAAGTAAACAGAGGTAGTATTTGTAATCATTTAAAATTTATTAAATATAATTTTATAAAATGATTCGAATTATATTAAATTCATGAATATATTAGTCTAAATAAATTATGGATTAATATAATTGGGCAAATTATTCATGTCCAATAAATATGAATTTAGTTGAAGTCAAAATTAATTGATTTAGACTACAATAGATGAGCCTAATTTGCTAAGTCCAATGTCATCTTATCCTAGAGGCCCATTCTTTTGTGTCACGTGACAAATGACGTGGCATGCCAAGTCAAACAAGAAGCCAATAGAATCATGACATGTGCCAAAGATGACAAGCCCGCTCCATAAATCCCATAATCCACGTCACTTAAATCTGCTTGGCAGAAGAGAATCATGTTCCAATTGCAACTCCTCTATTCTAAAACTATAAATAGGGGTCCTCATAATTCAGAAAAGAGGACAGAAAATTCTAAGCAAGAAGCTGGAGAAAATCTGTGGTACAAACACCATAAAATTCTCTATAAAGCTACAAGTTTAAGAATTCAAGCATTCAAGTTCAAGAACGATCAAGATCAAGACCATCATATTCAAGAACAAGCTCAAGAGCCCTTGAATTTATATTTGAAAAGGGGAATTCAGAGAATCATAGAAATTGTAACACTCGCACTTGAAATAATAAATACGATTGTTGCGATATTTTTCCGTTCTTGATTATTGTTTTCTTGACGTAAATTTTATTGTCTACAAATTCTGGCACGCCCAGTGGGACAATCTCTACCTCTCATCTCAACTTTTCAAGCATCAAAGAATATCGAGATGACTTCCATGAAGAACAACTCTCGATCAACTGCCTCTAAGGCCACTAGCTCCAAGTTCTCTACTGAAGTTGAAGGCATTCTTGGTGTTACCTTTGGAAGTTTCGGAGCTGTTACGAGAAGCAAGGCTGCTACGCTAGGACAACAAACACCTCAAGTGTCGTCAACATCAACTCCTGTTTTTGGGTCTTTGACTCCAAAAGGAGCAAGTTCCTCCACAAATGCTTTAGAAGGAGGAAGTAGTGTTGCTGAAAAGATCAAGAAGACATTGGCTCTACTTGAGCAATCTAGTTCCAAGAACTCTACCACAAGGGAGAATTATGATTCAACTAATGAATCATCTCCACATGCATCGCGTAACGTGAGTCCGTTGAAGATTAACATACGTTATAATCCATGCTACTCTCCTACATCTCCAATGATCATGCAAACGATGGTGACTGTTGCTTCCTCTCCTAAGGAACAACTCGCAAATCTGACGAAGTTAGTTGAAGGATTGACAAAGCATGTACAACACCAAGAGTCTCGAATTGATAAGCTGATGGATAGGATGGAAGGACTTTTAGATGGAGAAGCGAGTCATGCGTCTGGAAAGGCTGTTGAAGTTCAAGAGATCGGAGATCTTGTGAAGAAAGCACCGATTGTTAATGAGATGCCAGTTTCTTCTGAAGAAATGATCCCACTTGATCGCTTGAAAGAGTTTATTGAAGGCACTATCAAAGATAAGTATGAAGTCTCCACCAAGTCTTCTCATATGTATGATAAGCCATACACTGCTAGAATTGATAACTTCAAAATGCTTGCTGGTTATCAACCTCCCAAATTTCAACAATTTGAGGGTAAAGGAAATCCAAAACAACATGTTGCACACTTTGTGGAGACATATAATAATGCTGGTACCTATGGAGACCATCTCGTCAAACAATTTGTCCGCTCTCTAAAAGGAAATGCCTTTGATTGGTACACGAATCTCAAACCTAATTATATTGATAGTTGGAAACAACTAGAGAACAAATTTCTTAATCGCTTCTATAGCACAAGGCGTAGGTGAGCATGGTAGAACTCACGAATACTCACCAAAGGAAGGATGAACCGGTTATAGATTTCATAAATCGATGGAGGAACGCGAGCCTAAATTGCAAAGATGGGCTTAGTGAAGCTTCTACAATCGAAATGTGCATCCAAGGAATGCATTGGGAGTTTCTTTACATCTTACAAGGAATAAAACTAAAATCCTTCGAAGATCTAGCTACTCACGCTCATGATATGGAGTTGAGCATGTCCTCTGCTGGAAAAGATATGACGTTTGTCCATGATCCTCACAAAGGAAGGGACAGCAGGAACCCAAGAGATGGAGCAAATTTGTGCCCAGAAATGACAATAAAGAATCCATGAATGTTAATGTGTCGCCTGCGAAGTTCACCACGAATGAGGGCATGAAGAAAAATATGAGAACGACTTTCCAAGCACATTCAAATCAAAAGTCGACACTAAGGGAGATGCAAGGGAAAAATATCCCTTCTTGGATTCTGACGTTTCTGAGATTTTTGATGAGTTGCTTGAGTTAAAGCTCATTGACTTACCAGAGATGAAGCGACCTGATGAAGCGGGAAAAGCTGATTACCCAAATTATTGCAAGTATCATAGCCTTGTAAGTCATCCTCTTGAAAAATGTTTTGTCTTCAAGGATAGAGTGATGCGATTGGTTAACGAAAGAAAATTGTCATTGATGATGAGAAGGCTGGTTCTAACCAAATCTCTATCACATTTGGCTCGCTCGATCCGATCCAAATATATATCTCTGAAAAGCATGAAGAAGAGTTATTGGAGCAAGACAAATCTCAAAATGATATAGATGGTGATAAAGGCTGGATTCTTGTGACTAGGCGAAGAGGCAACAAGTCAAGCTTACGAAAAGGATCATCCGAGCAACCGATTAGAGGAAAAATGGTGAAGAAATTGGAGAAGCAGAAATCAATCCAACGCCCAAAGAGGGCAAAGGTAGAAGTGCATCACTACCAAAAACCCCGACATCCTGTGACTCTAGAGGAATTCTTACCAAGTTCGTTCGACATAAAGTCTACTCAAGACAGTGTCAAGGCATCATGTTTCAATGCTGATAAAGCAGAAACAACGAAGGTGCCTCCTACTGATAAAGAAGGAACAATGAGTGAATCCTTACCAAAAGTGTCTCCTAGTGACGATGAAAAGGAAACAAGGGAAATCTCATCAATGGTGTCTCCCTCACCTTCTGAAAAACCTATTGAACCTTCTTCCTAAGAAGTACATGCACATGATACAAAAATCACATTTACAGATAATGATTTTCTATTTGGTGAAACACTACACAATCATCCTTTGTATATGGTGGGTCACGTGCTAGAGAAGAAGAAAAATAGAATCTTAATAGATGAAGGATTTGGAGTTAACATTCTGCCTATCCACATATTGAAGGAACTCGGTATCACGACAAGAGAACTTTGTAAAAGTCGTTTGTTGATACAAAGATTTAATCAAGGGGGCAGAGGTCTATAGACTTTATTAAATTAGAGATCCACATGAAAGATTTGTGATCAACAACATGGATGCATGTGATCAACGCAAAGACGTCATACAATATATTACTTGGCAGGCCTTGGGTACATGAGAATAGAATTGTCTCATCTTCTTACTATCAATGTTTGAAGTATCTTGAAGGCATGATTGAAAGGAAGATAGTTGCAGATGATAATCCTTTCACCGAAGTTATGACACACTTTGCCGATGCGAAATTCTATTTGAAAAGTCATGTTGTTAAAGGGGCCAAATCTAATGATGTCAAACCGATCATATCCGATAAGATCATAATCAAAAGAATCGATGCAGCTGTCGAAAAGGTAAAAGTTTATGCTAAAGAACTCTGTCCCATTCTTAATGAAGGGAAGATCATGTCTTCGAAGAAAAAGCTAACTTCTAGACTTTGCTATGTTCCAAAAGTGAAGAAAGAATAAGATCAATCATCTAACCTTCAAGAAAATGTATTGAGAAGGCTAACTCTTCCTATCAGACTGATTGATGCAATAAACATGTCTTCAAAGCTGCCAGAAAAGTCAATCGCTCAAAATCAAGTGCGAGATGTGGTGCTCCCTACAAAACGCACAAGAGAAGGTTTTGATCCCAATGCTTACAAGTTATTTGTGAAGGCTGGATTCAACTCTAATGAGCCATCAATGTTAAGGGAAACTTCCATCAGAAGATACAACTAGGCAAGCACGTGAAGGCCTGGGCTATAGCCAACCATCGACAATTCACATTTCCTTAAGAAGGGTAAGCAATAACCATATAACTTTTGAAGATGATGTCATTACTCCCAACAAAAAGGCTTCCATCTTTGATCGACTTGGAGAATCGACTGCAAGAACTTCTGTGTTTGAGAAATTAGGTCCATTGAAGAAAAACAAGAATCTGAGAAGTTATTTAAAAGTTACAACGCCTGCTTCACATTTGATTCGAAAGGATTTCAAAAGTTTGATTCCTTCTAGAATGAGGCGACGAGTGGAGCTTGTGGTTTCGTGTAAAGAGGAACTCAAGGCAAAGGCTCACATTGTGGTTTACACTAAGGAGCGTGAGGAAGATGAAGAAAGTGTAGGCTCCTCATATCATGTTACAATCTAGAATGAGCATGATTCTTTGCCTCAAATGAATATTAATGAAGAGTTAGAAGATGTTGTCTGGTGTTGTTATATATCTGTCATTGACAATGATCCTCTAGAAGAGAAAGATGCTGGAGATTCTCCACCAGAACTTGAAGAAGGACTAAAGACCACAATAGATCCTTTGAAGGAAGTTAACCTTGACACTGATGAAGACCCAAGGCCAACTTACTTGAGTACTTTTCTAGAAGTTGATGAAGAAATCGCTTATATGAATATACTCAAAGAATATAGGAATGTCTTCGCTTGGATTTATAAAGAAATCCCTCAATTGAATCCTAAAGTAGCG